GAGAAGCCACCCGTTCCCTCATCCCTTCCTATGCCCTGAGGGGAAAAAGGCGTAAGAGTGCTGCTGTGAAAGTCATCCCGCATTATGGAGTCTCTGTACCCCTCCCAAGTTCTCTGAGAGAGCCGGAGCAAGTCTGGGCGAATAGTGCAAAGGATAACTACGGTTTGGGTTTATTTTAGCAGGCTAGCAGTTAGCGATCATCGTGCTGTGCGTTTATAATTATCTACTTCACGCCCAAATTATCGCACAAGAGCAGGCTGCTGCTATGGCAAGAATTACCCTGGCAGAAAAAAGGCAGTCGGAAGTGTCTGGATAATGCTACCTCTATACGCAATTTTCAGTAACAGTACCTGTCACTGTAGTGCCTTACAATCTTATACATTGGGTCTGCTTTTAAAAAAAAAAAAAAAAAAAAGGAAAAAGTGCAGTATGTGCTCTGATATCTGTAGGATGAGTACATCATAATACTTTTATAAAGTTTTGAGGGTTGTTGTTTACTCCTGTGGAGCTATCCTTTTACTGTAAGTCATACTTTAATTTTACAAACAGGACAAGAAGCAGATAAAGAAATGGAAGGTGCTCTTGATGATGTAGCAAAACAATTGGATAAGCAAGCACTGGAGGAGAAGGAAAAAGATGATGATGATGAAGGCAAGTGTAACTTACTTTTTCTCTTGACGTTTCCAGTTTCAGCTTCTTTCTAGACTCCCATTTTAAAAAAACTTTTACAGATGCCTTTTGGGTTTGTTTTCTTTTTTTTTTTTGCTTGGGAGAGGTGAGATGCAACTATATATATTTGGCACCAAGTTATCTGTCACGCATACTTATATATCTATATATATATAAAATAACGGATAACAGCTTTGTCAAAGCTTCTTGTTTTCAAGGATCTTGTTACTGCAGGTAAATGTTTAGTTTAAGATAAGGTAAGCTATAAATAGTTTTCACTTGCATTACCATGGTCCATACCACTACCATAAATTTATGTTCCAGTTATGTCTGCTATTCTTGGCTTAGAACAAAAAATACAGAGCAACTTTTAAGGGAGTATTTTATAGTCTTTACCAGTGACTTGAAACCAGTTCATCTGTAATCCTAATTTTTTGTTAAAACTGAACTGGGGAGAGATTAATACACACACAAAGCATACACCTTGTGTGTTGCTTGTGCTATGCAGCTGATGTTCTAGGCAAGTGCCTTGGAAATGTCCGGTATTGAAATCCAGGATGGATGCATCTTTTCTGTAGGAGTATCAGATAAAAATGCTCTATTTCCTTTGTTTTGATGAGTGGATCTCAATAGAAATGGACATTTAAGAAAATACATTTCTTAAGTGAGTTATTTAGTTTCCTTCTTGTGAATTAGCACTTAAAGTTGTCTCAGCACAACAAAATGTTTCTTACTGTTCTACTTAGAAATCTTTATTGGCTATTGCTGGAATTCATAATTCCAGAATTTAATTTAATAAATTATATGTAGAAGTTTTTAAAAGTGAAATAAGTATACTGGGAAATATGACATTACAAATAAATTGATCTTTGAACATTATTAATCTATATATAGCATCCAGTTTCATGCAGTTACTTTCCATAGAAGTGTATTCTGATGTATTTCAGGTTATGGAGTTGAAAGATAATTAATACAATCAGTGCTTTGCCATCATTGCAATTAAAGAAAGAAATATAATGTAGGGTAGTAAAAACTTTATACAGTGAAAAGAATTATTTGAAAATTATAGCTCCCTCTCAGGAGAAATAACACTGTTAGTGGCAGATCAAGTGCTGTGTTCTTTTATGCTTTTTACTGTATTAGCAATTAGTATTGCACTATTACAAAGTATAAAAAAATTGAGGTGGTGCTATCACTGAAGAAATAATCTTCCTTTTTTTCCACATATTATACTTGGATGTGTTTTTACAAAAACAATCTTTTTGCAGAAAAATTTAAATTGCTGTAAGGTGGTTTTTTTTGTGTATTCTTGCCTCTACTGGTTCTCACCATTTGCCATCTGTGTAGTGTCAGAGGTGTTGCTTATTAAAACACATAAAATACCTGCCCCCCCTGCCCTTTTTATTTTGCCCTTGATAAGCCTATAACTGAGTGACCTCAGAAATGAGACTGTATACCTTTTGAAATCTGTGAGAGATTAGGAAGTGCTCTTTGGATTTCCACTGCAGTGTTAAAACGTGTTGATAGATAATATTTTTGTATGATATTAGGCTCAGTTATTAAACATCTGTACCAAAATGGCATAAGGTTGGGCTTCGGTTTTGCAAAGATCTGAAATTGCTTTTCTAGTGAATTTTTTTTTCATTACCAGCTAAATAACCTGAAGACAAACAGGGTATTGGTCAAATGCAGTAGTTGTGTTTCTGGCAGCACTGTTAGTCTGCAGCGCTCTTCAAGGACATGAAAGCGTAGGCCTGGTTAGTTTGGCTTGCAGTTAGCAGATTTCATGTGCAGTGATGTATGAAAAAGCCACAATAAGCAGATAGCAACAGCAACAACATTTAAGAAATGCTGTACTTTTTTTGCTGTTTAGGCCTAGCACTTAAAAAATAATCTAAAAGTCACTTAGCGAACTAACTGAGTCACATCTAATTCGTTTCTTGATGAATGGTTTGAGCTCAGCTCAAGGTCAAGAGAAATGTGGCAAAGTTACCACCTTTTAAAGAAATTCATATGCGTGGTTAAGGATTTTTCGACTGCCTATGAAATATGGTTTGATGGAGAATCTGGTAGGCTGGACTACATTGTAGCTACAAAGTATTTATACTTGCAGTTTTTTTAGAAACATTTAAATTAAGATATTTAATGCCAGAAGGAGCTGGGGAGAGGCGGGCGTGACACATTACTGAAATTTGCCTTAGTTGCTGGATTACAGCAGTCAGTACAGCATAGCAAATGCAGATGACACCAGCCGTCATAGGAGGCTTGAACTTTAGTGACTGGAAAAACTGGTCATTGTTATGGTTTGGTTTTTTTTAAAATAAATGAACAAATACAAGTTTATATATAAATAAATTCTAAATGTCAGTGCTTTGACTTGATTCTAAAAGTTCATTAAATTTAATTTTTTGCTTTAGATACAAATAAAAGTTTAAATGTACATGACTAGTGCTTACCCATTTTGAAATCAACTTGTGGTTAGTTCCAGGAGGTTTAGTTAGATGGTATCACATTAGATAAATACTTAATTGTGTATGAAGTAACTAAGCATTAGACGTAGCCAAACGTGAAGTCCGCACACGGGCTTTTTGTTAACTCCCAAATGTGACTGTAACATGGTGTGGCTGATTCTTGCTGCTTACCTCCTTTGCTCTCTGAAAACCTCCCACTGGTATGTCCCACACACAGTGGTTTTGCTCGGTGCTGGTTGTGACTTTCCCTTATCTCCAGATTAAACTCATCCTTACCTAAGCGCTGTCATCTTTACTTGTTTGGGTTTTTTATCTTTCCAGATGCATTAAGTTCCTTTAGCTGAAGCATCAGAAGATGGGTTTGAAGCAGTAATTTCTAGCTTTTTGTTAGCTGTTGTGTCTAATACTGTTCTCCCTCACGCCCAACCCCAGGCATATTTTGGGGTGAATTGAGAATAGAGGAATTTGAATTAGGACTTTCTGAAAACTGCTTTTTTTCCTCTGTTTGGAGATATGTTTAAGTCATCAACTTTAGAAAGTATTTCCTCAGGTCTGTGTTTGGTGTAGGGACTGAAAATGCTAATGGTTTGGTGACAGCTTCTAGCTGTCTTCTTTTAATCCATTAAATTCTGCTGTGAAATAAGTGTTTCCAGATAGTCCAGGTGGTTTTGCGTCTCATTCAAAATTCTTTGATTCGTTAAGGTTATTTTATGTTCACTTGAGTATTTTCTTGTAGATGGAGAGGGTGATGGAGATGGAGCAACAGGGAAAAAGAAGAAGAAGAAGAAAAAGAAGAAAGGATGTAGGTATCAAGCACAAAAATAAAGGTAGACTGTATGAATATTTGGTTAAGCATATGTAAATGCGGTTCTTGGCAGTTGAAGCAAATTTTGGGATGCAGTTTGGGTTTGTAGGCTAAGTCTGGCTGAGTTTTCTTCTTTCTGATATCCCTGAATGCCACCTTGAGCATTGGCCAAATAAAGTCATATAAGGGCACTGTGATAATGGTATTTTCTTGGTAGAAGTCCAGATTCTAGTAAGGGGATCTTAAATAACTTGGGCTGTTTAACTTTTATGTTTGAAATAAAATCCTTAGTATTTCCAGTGTACCATAAGTAAGATTTTCTTAAATTCTACTCAACAGCTAAGGTCCAGACAGATCCACCTTCTATTCCAATATGTGATCTATATCCTAGCAACGTATTCCCGAAGGGAGAAGAATGTGAATACCCACCAACACAAGATGGGTGAGTTTTAAGCTTAAAAAAAAAAAAATGATGTCATCTGGATGTGCAGAATTGCAAAACTGTTAATGTGCAACTAAATGGACAGAGTGAGTTATAGTGTGTGGTTTCCCTTTTTTTTTTTTTTTTTTTTTAAACTGGATCATCTAAGAACTTAATGAACAGAAGTCTTCAGGCCTGAAGCGTTTCTCCTTCCCTATCCTTTTAATTAAGGTACAGCTTGTATGAGAAGAATTGCTGTGAGGCAGGGAACCTTGAGGCTCAGGGGACCAACAGGATTTCAGTAGTCAAGTTGTAAGGAAAATATGGTCTGAATTAGAACTGGGTGAAGGTTAAAATTTAGGGAGATGAGACACTATGATATGCCAGTTTTGGGGGCATCTAGAGGTCAACTTCTTGGTTTTTTTTTTGTTTTTTTTTTGGTAGAGAGATGTCAGTCTCAGAGTATGGGACAGTTTAATTTAAAAGCCCAAGTGGTATATTCTGCACTTTGCTTCTCTTTGTTCATATGGATATGTAGTTATTATAACCTAAACTGTTTTTTATAATTCATAGTGACATGGGAATAATGTGCAATTTTACTAAACAAGCAACAGCTTCTAGTAGCTTACTGGAATGGAGATCTGAATCCTTATGTTTTCATAGGGTACTGCTATTTCCTTACGCTTTGTTAGGAACCATGGTATACCAGCTTGACTGAGTTTCCTGATTTTTTCTGCATGAAGTGTTGTGGAAGCTCATGTTTTACTTGTATGGGGGGCAGGGGTGTGGAGTCAGCTTGAATTGCATGAAAATCTGAATCAGAAGACCCAAGTATTACTGAAGACTTTCTGGGAAATTTTGAATCAAAACTCAGAAAAAATACGCTAAACCAAAGGCGGGGGGACACAACTAGAGACATGTTCATATTTCTGAAAGCACTGTTTATTTTTCAATTACTTTTTGTTTTTCAGAATCAAATTACTTTAAAGCATTTATTGGTTGTTTAAAGTCAATGCCTTGTTTCTCATAGTGTAAGCAACATAGCTAAGAGTCTAGTCCATCCTATAAATTGTGTTGGGATATTCACAGATAATATGGTTTCATTTTTATTAGATTAAAATTTGGTTTTGAGGAAGCCTTCTTTTTGATGACTTCAGTTTGATCACAAGGTGCGCTCATATTTATTTATAAATTACTGCCTTGTTTGTATGTACAATATTAGCCTCCTAATGAAGGACTTTCACAGGGTTGTCCTGACAGGCTCATCCAGGAGTGATTCTTTCATGCTTAAGAGTTAGGGGTTTGTCTGTATGTGCATATGCCACATTCAGAGGGATGTGATCTGACCAATCCAGGAAATTAGGTTATATCTATCTTAAGCATGTTTGTAGTCTATTAACAAATGACACACTATTTTTACAAGTTTGTTATGTATCCGGCTCTTGAAAAGTAAATGTTTTACTCTGGGTTCACTACTGTTCATTTAAAAGAAAAGAAAAAACAACTACAAAACAGCAAAAACAAACCACCTTTTCTAACAGGATTTGAGTGGAGTATCTTTTCTTTACCCAGAATGTTCTGTTGTGGAAGAAGATAGACTCTTCTAAGGAACCTGAAACAGTTTCTTTATATAATTTGCTTAAGCAAATACATGCTTAGTTTTGTTCCTAATTTAAATATTTAACTCTTATGATGCTACTTTAGTATTTCCTAACATAAGCAGACACTTAAATTAGTAGCTGACATGAATGCTTGGGTATTTCCTATTCTGAATAATAGTTTCATCTTATATGTTAATGAAGCATTTTTGTGCCACTTTTTCACACTGAGGTCTATAGGATTTTGTCTGTGATTTATATTTTTTTTAAAGTTGTACTTCTAATTTTAACTCTTGATGTCACATGCTTTCTAAAGTTACCTCTCATCAACCTGGAATTGTGTATTTTGTGTGGGAAGTTGAACTAGAAGTGGGCATCATTCAATTTTCAGGGGAAAAAGTTGCAGAGAATCAATTCTTATATAGACCATAGACTAAGAGTTTTGATATTTTTATATCTCGAGTATTTAGTTCTGTGTGAAGGCTTGAGGTTTTTGTTGAAGACACCTGAATCTGAAATGATCCGACAGGGAGGGCAGAATAGCTATAGCTGTGTTTCATGACACACTGACTTGGTTAAAGTTGGATTAAGGAGTTCTTGTCCCTGCCTGCTTGTTTCTGCCCCTGTGCTGTTATCTGGGGGAGTTATTTTATGGAATTCTTACCTTCGGTCACTAAAATAGAGTTTACAGCACAATCCTATAAAGATCTGTACTAGTGAAAACTGAGGCTGTGGACTGGAGTGGGAACAAGTGGCTTGGAGCAAGAGGTGAACTTCTTAAGCTGATTTATGTGGTAGCCAGCACATTAGGAAATTGTCCTCAGAAAAGCTTGCTAGCTCATGTGCCTGTTGGAGGACTTGATGTTTGGTGTGAGACTGTTACCTCATCAATTGGTTTTTCATGTCCTGAAGTGCTTAGGCCCAAGCAGTACACCTTTTCCATCTTATGCCGTGACTACTGTGCTGGTAATAGTTCAGTTTCCAAGTGCAGTAAGAAGACTCAGGTGTTGCAACCTATTGCTTTCTTTTTGTTGGAATTTACCAGTGTTAAGGCAAATTCTAAGAGTAGTATGTGTCATGCTTGCTACTGGAGCAAGAAAAGTGCTCAGAAAAGTAACCATGTGATTTCTCCTTTGCACTGTTGTTACTTTGTCTGAAAAGAGCAGGAGGTTCAAGGGAAACAACCAAAAAGGTCTCAAAACATTTGGATTCTCTGGTTGTCCTGAGAAAAATGTTATGGAGTAGGCTATTATCCTTCTTTATCTTTTCAACTCTGCTTTAGGATTGCAGGCCTCTCAACACTGTATAAATACTCAGTTCAAAATGCAGCAAAATTGCAGGGCATAGTCTCTTGGCTCACTCATACCTGTGTTTTGGCTGTGAAGGAAACTCTTAGAGTGGAGCCAAGTTACATGTCTATGAAACGGGTAAGTAGCTACACTTCAGGATTTCAAAAAGTAATCCTTTAACTCTGCATATTCAGTTGTTTGCTTAGAATCTGCTAATTTACATAAAAGTTAATTTCTAAATTTGGAAACTTTGGTGTAGTACAGCATCTTTGGTCCATCTTGTCCATCATCCCTTTTCTTTTATGACCCCCCAACCAGGATGCGCTGCATAGCATGTACAGAGTTCTTTGAGTTATCACTAGGGTTTTTTGCAACTTTACAGGACTCCAGCTTCACCATTTGAAGGGTATCTCTACTTTGTAGTCAGGAGAGTTGTCTTTTAATTAAGTTCTGACAGTTGCTGGATTGCTTAAATTACTTTTGGTTTTTGTTTTCTTTGTTTTCTTGGAACCTTAGTTGTATGGTTTCTTGCATAATGAAGAACCATATTGAGAACTAATCTTATATTTAGTCTTGTACTCAAAATTATTCTTGTATTTGTTCTGTGAACCTACCAAAGAGCCAAAATTTGTGGTATTCTCTTGAAATAAATGTTAATTCACTGTCCAGCAAATTTAGAAAGTAACTTCCTGGCATGTGTCGTAGTTACTATGCACTGTGTTGGGTGTTATGACCTAAGCATTTGGAGGATGGGCAAAAGTATTACTGGAACTGCAAGATGTTAAATTTTGAAGGAGCTTACTGTGTCAGTAACAGTTTCTGGGCCATGCAGCTACGCTACGGTGCTGAAGATTCTTCTCCATACAAGTAGAGCACTGTCTGATGAGTAAGATAGTGCAAAAAATGAACTTCTTGCATGAGCAGAGCACGTTGTAGTGATTTGCCCTGCTAAACTCAAGATAGAATTGCAGGCCTTGATATGAATTTTATGTTCTCTCTTTTTGTAAAGTATTATGCATCCTTCAAGCACACTGCTTCTCTGGGCTTTTGGAAGAGCTGGGAGATAAGGCTTTTGAAAATGTAAAGGGAATAAAATGGTTCATGGTCTAACTGAGTTAAATTTCAGTGTATATGTATAATTTTTTTTTTCTGCAATGTCACTGCCTTTCACAGGTGTCAGTCTGTGGTGCTGAATCATTATTATAGGCTTCCTTTATTCTGAAAATTTTACAAATCAGGATCTTTTCCATTGCCCAGGGGAATGTAGGCCTGACTGGTTCATAAATGCTTTGCAGACTTTAGACAGAAGTTGTAATGACTACTGTGATTATAGTAACTTTTCATGGCACACTTTGTTTGTTTTAAAGGCGAACTGCTGCTTGGAGAATAACTAGCGAAGAAAAGAAAGCACTAGATCAAGCCAGTGAGGAAATCTGGAATGATTTTCGGGAGGCTGCGGAGGCACACAGACAAGTGAGGAAATACGTTATGAGCTGGATAAAACCTGGAATGACAATGATAGAAATCTGGTGAGGACACAGATCTTCTCAAACACCTGTGCTGTAGATTTTTCTTCTTTCTCCAGAGGAGGAAGGTTTAGTCTTGATTTTGTGTAGTTAATTGACTGTGTCGTGAGTGTTGGAGAGTTTTCTGTTTGAAGTATTGCCAGTTACTCACTTTAAGTTTCCTCTTAAAACATATTCTCAGGTTATGCAACTTTACTGGGCCTGGGGTCATACTGAATTTTAAACTAAGTTTTCAGTTATGTTTACTTATTTTGAGCACATGCTTGATTTTTTTAATGTTCTGTGCCCTGGCTGCTCTTGCAACGTGAGTCGTGCAGCAGTGCTGAGAGAAGCAGGAATAGCAGTAGTAAACATCCTGGCTTTTGCCAGAATTGCCAGTAAAATGCTGTGTGGACAAGCAATGCAGGGGCAGTCTGAGGCTGGGAGTGGGCGAAGAAGCATAAAAACGGCATGGCAGTGTACTCAGGACAGGAATATTTTTGTCTGTAGTTAGTCTTCACTGACTGATATTTCTGGAGAAACATAATGTTTCTTTGTGTCGTTCTCAGTTGGTAATCCATTTGCTCGCTTGTTTCTTAAGATAAACATGCATTTGATTAAGGTAAAGTTTAAAGAAATAATTGGCCTGAACTGATTCTCTTGACTCTTCCAACTATTCCTTTTTCTATCCTTCAGTTTATTTAGAGTGAATGTCTGCTGTCTGAATACTGGATTGATCCAGGACAGTTTAGCTTCCAAAATCAGGTGCTTTCAGCCTGGTATGACTGAAGACTGTGCTGACAAGAGTAGGACAGTAAGCTAATCAGAGCTGATCCCCAAGGTAACTGTGTGAGGATAACAGAAAGAAATAATAAACCATCAGGGAAAGTGGAAGAAAGACAGCTGCCTTGATAATAACTGGTCTTCTAGCTGAAACAACTCTGTTGTATTGAAGTATACAGTTTGACTGTTTTAAGCAATAATATTCTCATAACACGACTTTTCTTCCTAAAGTGCTTCGGGCCCTGGGGACTTGCCTATTAAAATAAGCTTTCTTCTTTTTCCAGACTGCTCTGCGTGAATAGCTTTCTTAAATAAAATCAGAGTATGGTGCACCAATATGAGTTGCAGTTTACATCATTCACTGCTACTATAGGAGTATGCACTGGTGGGCATGTGTCTGTAGCTTTCCAGTAGCTAACAGCTTGAGAGTAGACAAAAACCAAGAACAAATGCTAGTCTCATAAGGTTGTATTTTGTCAAAGTTACTGCTTAAATTAAAAGAAATATTATTATCCTTCTTTAATTAGTATTTTTTTAATACACGAGAGGACTACACTATTGCCTTTTTTCTCTTACTTCCTTTTCTATCCCAGTAATTGTAAAGAATGCATGTAATTTGCCTAAATTTAGTTGTATAACTTCTGCTGCTCAGGAAAATTGGGTTAAATGTAGCTTGTAAAGGATGTATATTTTAAACTTAGAGTAAAAACACTAGCGAAGTACTCAATTTTGCCCAAGAATGGGTAGAAAAAACAACACCAAGAACTGAAGTTTATTATGTTGTACTTATGTTTTCCAGTCTGTGATCTCCTTCTAGTTAGCATACAAGTAGTTTAAAATCTCAAATTAAAACATTCGCTTGAATATTTTTCTGAGGTTTTGTTCTTGCATTGATTTATTTGAAGTCTTCATAAGAAATATTAATGACAACTGTTATGTTCTTTTTTTCTTCTCCCTCCCCTCTCCCTTTTAGTGAAAAGCTAGAAGACTGCTCACGTAAGCTGATAAAGGAAAATGGTTTAAATGCCGGTCTTGCGTTTCCTACTGGGTGCTCTTTGAATAATTGTGCCGCCCACTACACTCCCAATGCTGGAGATCCAACAGTCCTGCAGTACGATGATATTTGCAAAATAGATTTTGGGACGCATATTAGTGGTTAGTTTTCATTTGTGAATTAAAACTTAGAGAACATCCTTCAGTGCAAAGACTATGAAGCTAATTAACTTCTGGTGATTTCAGGTCGTATTATTGACTGTGCTTTTACAGTCACATTCAATCCAAAATATGACAGACTATTAGAAGCTGTAAAGGATGCCACAAATACTGGAATAAAGGTATGATCATTATGTAAGTCACTTACCAAATCTTTTTACAGTAAATTTTGCAAATATTTTCCATTTATATTTGCACATTATTTTCAGTGTGCTGGAATAGACGTACGTCTCTGTGATGTGGGGGAGGCCATACAAGAAGTTATGGAGTCTTATGAGGTTGAAATTGATGGCAAAACATACCAAGGCAAGTTATTTTCTTTATATAAGGATAGTTGTTCTTAGAGTATATATATTTGTACAACTATAGATTTATTTGTATCATATTGAAAATACCTCTGTACTAGAAGTATGGTATGAGTGACTTGCATAAATACATGTTTCTGGCTGGCTTACTGTTTCTCTGGAGGAATGTTCTTGGCTTATCCTTACAAATACTGTATCTTTAACAGAGAAAATGGAGGCTAAACAACTCTTTCAAAATGTACAAATGATTTCATACTTGCTGTTCGGCTTTATTAATAAACTTTTGTTACTCTTGGAGTTGCTAGTCTTTAATAATGAAGCTTTGATACAGTGTACAAAACTACGAACTTCTGTCTTGGCTGGATTTTATACAAGATGTATGGATAGTTTTGTGTTTCGTTCCTCTGCAATATCATGAGTCACTATTGTACTTTCAGTATGGCCTAACAAGCCAAATTACTTTAAAGAGTTTAACATGTTAGGAAATTGCCTCTAATATTAATGTTTTATTCAAAAGTGAAACCAATTCGCAATTTGAATGGACACTCGATTGGGCCATATAGGATACATGCTGGAAAAACGGTGCCCATTGTGAAAGGAGGAGAAGCCACAAGAATGGAGGTAAGTGGAGTTCTTAAATCTTTCTGTTAAGTTTCCCCAGCTGTCACTGCAAGAATAATATTTCCTGCGCAGTCCTAGTGTGCAGTATTTGTGATCCTGGTGGGTATTGTAGTGTTCCTGTAAAGGAGTGATTGATCTTGTTTCATCTCAGTGGCTTCTCCATTTAGCCCTGGACTGTTCTCCTATCTAACACTTTCTGAAGTTGAAGCCTTGGAAGCTTGCTATTTAAAAAAAAAACATTCTTGGTTTTTTTCTAACAAACAAACAAAAAAAAACCCCAAACAAACAGAACCCCAAACAAACAAAAACCAAAAAACCCCAACTTTAAATCTGAATGGCCTTAGTGATGCTTATGGAAACTCTTGCATATTTATTTCTCAATGCATATATGCTACTTAAATGCAGGGTTGGAATGTTGCACTTAGGAGCAGGGAAAAGGACAGGAATTTAGGTTTTGGGGTAAACTTGAGGGACCAGAGTTTTCCTGAAAGGTGTTTAGACTTGCCAGTCAATCACACTTTCCTTGTTTGTTCACTCTGTAATTAAAAAGACAAAATAACAATCTTCTCTTCCTTAGGTAATTCTTGAGAAATTTTTCTGTAGTGTTGTAGCTTTGGATGGCTTTTTGCTCGTATGGTTAGGTATGACACCTTTCTTGAAAAGCTTCCAGTGCAGTTTTTCTTTGCAGATACACAATAATTAAGCGTATTTCTAGTTAATGTGAGACACTAGAAGAAAGATGTTGTTTGAATTGTGTTTTGGCGAAAGGGAAGAGAAATTGTTGTACATGACGTGGCAAACTATACTAACCAGAAAGGCAATATTAAAATATGTAACCTGAGATTTAGCCACCGTTTTGATATAAACTTGTGTTCTAACAAGATAAGAAGTCGTATTTAAAAGATTGGTAATGAGATAAGAAGCTTTTAATTTCATTCTAAACCTGATGACTGATCAGCAATGATCACTAGTAAGCCTATCAGAGTAAATAAGACTTGGAAAAGCTGAATAGGGCTAGGTGTGGTCTGGACAGGGTTGTTCTTTGAGGTGTGGGCTCACTCTCATCACTCAAAACTTGTATCATAGTTGTTGATCACCTTCTTAATGATGTGAACAAAAAGACAAAGTTTTAACTATTATCTTATCTGAAGGAGTGTGCAAAGGGATTAAACAGTATTGGAAAGGGAAGGTAGAAAAAGCTTGTGTGCCCTTCTTGTTTTAGTGTAGCGAATGGTGGGTCTTGTAGATCATCCATATCGGCGTATTACTACTATAAAACTTAAGTGTTCTTTAAACAACTCTTACTTGAAGATTTCAGAGCTTTGAGACAGTTTTAATTGAATATCCAGACACTGGGGAGAAGACATTTCTAATTTCTTTAGCTTCTTAGGACACAATCCTGCATCGTTAAAGACAGTGAGTTTTGCCGATGAAGAATGTGGAGCATAGCCAAGCTCTTACTGTACTGTGCTAATTAGAGTATCAAACTGCAATCCAGTGAGTTTTTTGTGACAGAGAGAAACAGAGCCTCTAATGATCCTTATTCTGGAAAAGTGGGTGTGAAGTGATTTTTTTTTTTTTTTTTTTTGTGGCATTGCTGGGGGGTTTTGTGTTGGGTTTTTTTGTTTGTTTGGTTTTTTTAATGAACTCAGTTGAATATTCAGGGACGCCTTTAAGAGTTTGTCTTGAATTTGAAGGCTGTGTTACTGCTTTTCACATGGCTTCGTATTTTTGGGTTGTGACTTTCAAAATAGCTTAATAAACTGAAAAAAACAGCTCCAGCTGTTGTTAATGTTTGATGCCCTATCTCATTAAGTCCCTTTCACAGTCCTACCATTAAGGATATGTGAATGCACTTGGCAGAAATGAGTTTATATAATGGCATTTCAGTATGTTCTTGGCTAGAATTTTGATAATGCCCTTGCAGATATATATCACCTTCATTTCTTGAAGAAATTCATCTTTTGGAGTGGAAATGAGCAGGTTAAGGTTTTATACTAGCAGCTGTTACCAGAAAATTCTTGCAGAAATTGGGCAGAAAGTTCTTCAGTGCAGTAAGTCTCTGTAATCAACATCTATTTGCTTTGTCTAAACTATACATTTCCTAGGACTTCTATCTGAATAGCAAAGGAGAATTACTTCCAGATAGCAAATGTCTTGCAGCAGAAAGTAGTTTCTTAGCTATGTTAGATGTATGCTTTGACGTTTTAACTGCAATGACTGTGAGAAATTGTGACTAGAAATCTACATGCTAATATTTATGGCTTGAAAAAAATAAAATGGTACTAACTTAAATAGCTGATGATTTGGAGATGTCTGTAACTTTACTATGTAAGGTCTCCATATTGAATTTTTCTCTACATTGATTTGGTATTTGAATCTATTTACATTTAATTACTTGTGTTGAGAAGTTGTTGTACTGAGATCGTTATATCGGAATGGCCCACTGACACTTATTTTCATATTGCAACATGTTCTCTTTTTTTTCTTCTCCTTAGGAAGGAGAAGTATATGCCATAGAAACCTTTGGTAGCACAGGAAAAGGTGTTGTTCATGATGATATGGAGTGTTCTCATTATATGAAGAACTTTGATGTTGGGCATGTGCCAATAAGGTTGGAATTTTTTTTGTTGTTTTTTTTGTTGGTATATTGTGCTAGACCTACTGTTGTCTTAGAGTTCAAATTTGATGCAATGCAGGTTCTTCACTAATTAATAAGGCTGTCAGAGGACTCCAAGGGTGGTGTTAGCAATGTTCTTGTTATGAAATATGCTCTGATGATCTGGAACAATATGGAATTATTCCAAAGAATCTGGAAATGGAGAAAATACATTATTATGTCTTCAGAAATCTAGATTGTAACTTCTTATCATTAGTAATTCTTTAATAATATATAGATGATGTTTGTATATTAGTCTGTATATTAAATACTTTTTTTTTTTTAAGTCAACATTTGTATTATGGTTGTGTGCCACAATCTTTGTCTTGGTGTTATTCACAGAATCTGTCACACTATTCATGTAATCTGTTTTGTTTGTTATGGCTATTTTGTGGGTTTTAAGTTCTTGTTTTAGCATATTGCTGTAAAATAAAATAGCTTACTGATTTTCAGTTTTCTCTGGGATTGTGTTTTGGTATTTGTAGGAATGAACATCTCTTCTGAAGCGAAGGCTGTTGTGGTTAGAAACACAGCACGCAGTCATGCTTTTCCTGAGAGTTCTATTTTGTCTTCATAGAACAGTCTATTAATATGAAAAAGGCAAGCGGGGGAAGAATTAGCCTAAGGGTTGGAAAGGAACTGTTTATGTTTAGAAATAAGGTTATTTCTTAGCAGATCTATAAATCTATAAATTTTATGCTTATATATTGTAAGAAGCATGAATAAAAAAGCTTACTGTTGACTTCAGAAGTAAAACTTCAGAGTTTAAACCACCAATCTTACGCCTAAATTAGTTCAGATTATTACCCACTGTGGATCAGGAAGAATTCTGTTTTTCTTTTTAAAATGAATCATCCTTTTATTATTTAAGATAATGATCCCTGATGCTACGTTTCATTTTTTTGGGTAGTTAGCTGCAGATATGTTCACAGTCTAACATCCTCTATTTGAAATGGATGGCCAGTTGTGTTTGGCAGCATTCAGGTTTGTTTTGAAGGGTATCTTTTTGCAGGAGGAAAATGCACTTTCTTTTGTGAACAGAACACCTGACTGATAAAGAAAGACATCCCGAGGTATCTTAAAATACCTTGAAATCTTACCTTTTTCTTAATTGATATGTTTTATTTCTGTAGTGAATGCTTGCTGGTGATACTTCTTTCTTCTCAAACATGTTGTTCTTTTTTCTGCAGGCTTCCAAGGGCAAAACACTTGCTAAATGTTATCAATGAAAACTTTGGTACTCTTGCCTTCTGCCGCAGATGGCTAGATCGCCTGGGAGAGAGTAAATACCTAATGGCATTGAAGAACCTGTGCGACTTGGGTATAGTGGATCCATATCCTCCCTTATGCGACATTAAGGGCTCTTACACAGCACAGTTTGAGCATACTATACTGTTGCGCCCAACATGCAAGGAGGTTGTCAGCAGAGGAGATGACTACTAAACTCAGAGCCACCTCAGCACCTTTATACTCTAGGCTTTGTTGGAACATACTATACCAGAATTAATTTGCAACATACTGTCTGTTTTAACAGTGGACTGTTGTAATACTTTCCATATTTGGAAGGGAAGGAATTTAAACAAAGGCAAGTCTTCTAATGTAACTAACCAAGGAAAAAGCTTTCAGGCCTTTAGAAATATTTCAAAAGTTAATTATTTTTTCTTTTCAGGGAAATATGTGCTATAAAGCTCAATTTTTAGTTTGGAGTGAGTTATACATTTTGTTTTGAACACTTATGATAAAAGATGCTTTTCAAATATTTATATTACCATATTCCTACTTGAATGCTTTGAATGACTACACCTGATTTCTGCACCCAACTCCTCTATGATATTGCCTTTTAAACTTCCTGGAATCCGTTTTGTAAAAAATAAAGACAAATTTTCAGATCTAAAACTATATATACTTTTTAAAAGCCTGGTTATGATTCTGGTCAGGAGTCTGCTGCGAAACCATTCTATTAAATATTTTACAAACTTGTTTTGCCATTTCTTGTCTTGAAACTGGACCTGTCTATCCTTAATATGAAACTTTGCTTTTTAGTACTTACTTAAATAGTCTTGTCAGTGTTGGGATACAGGGCGAGAAGTCATCAACGCTTTGCAGGACAGAATGTGACTGCAGTAGGGATGTGTGGTGTGATTTGGTTTTGAGAGTGACAGTCTTCAGCTTAGACTTTAGCTGTATTTGAAATGTCAAATGCATTTTGTCGTCTCTGTTGCTGTTACCAGCAATGCGCAACTTCTGTCTGAAGCCAACAGTGAATATTAGTTTATATCCCTACAAATTCTTTGCTATGGGCATGCCCTTCTGCATGGGCTTAAAATTTTTCTTTGTGTGCTCCCCAGTCTCCTTTAAGTATGCATTAGATTGGACAAGTTGTAGGGACAATGAAAACGTTCTTTTGTTTTGGAGTGTTGAAACTTCTTCCGTCCAGGCAAACTAGTCTGGAGTATTTGATGTTTTCTTGACATAAGAGGTCATTATCTGTCTTCCCACTGCAGTGAATCTGACTGGTGAATCTCATTTGTAAAGGTGAATTAAATCCCATGGCTCTTCAGGCCTAGATGCCATACGTCTTCCAGTGCTGTATGTTTACCTCATGACTTGCATATTAAAATTTTACATAGTTACTGGTAACAAGAACTTCTTTAATAGGTCAATAATAATGCCTCAAACTGCTCAGGAAACAGAGACCCTGCACCTGTTCCTTTATAGTGACAGCATGTGTTTATTTATAGAGAAGTTCATATTAATTTAGAAATATCAGTTCTTTTCCCCTCTGTCTTCAGGTAAAAGCTGAAGTTTGTCTTTTAAAACTCAGCTATATGAGCTGCAGTTGAGAGGGGAGTAGTGTCATGTACAGCCTACAGTTTAAAAATAATAGATGTCAGTGGGGTTTTTCCCTGTTTGTATTATTTAAATTTAGTACTGCTTGTAGAAATGGATTTAATTGGATACTGAAATGTGTATTTCTGTTGTTGCTGTTTGGGAATCTTGGCATCTCAGCAATGAATTTTAAGTAATTTATGCAGCTGTGTGGGCATGTGTCTCAGCCTCCAAACAAACAGTAGCTAGCATATGCACTTGTGCATTGCAAACCGAAAACTGGCACCTGAAAGGATCTGTGATGAACAGGGCAGTATTAATTGTTTCTGGCTCACTTACCCTATTTTGGTAATAAACCTGGTTACTACAGATTCTGCTGGAAACAGGTACGACAAATCTGCTTTGGTTCTCAGCCTCTTACCCACTAATTCCAGGCTTTTCTCTCTAGAAGCATTGTCTGTTAGTAGCTCAATGCCATTTGATACTTCTACAGCTTCAGGCTTTATCTTTGCTGATGGTAACTTCAAGAACACTTAGTATTGCAACCTATTATTTGTTTTCCTCCCTTTGTATTTTCTTTTCCCTGAATGTAATAGGAAGATCCAGACGAGCAGAGCTATTTTGGATTATGGCCTCTTCTTTTTAATTTACTGGCTGTTTGCTAATTCACATATGGAAGCTGATAATCATGCGTAACAAATTGTAGAGGAAATGCCTCAGAAAAAGACTTACAGAACATGATGATTGTTTGTTGCCATTAAACTTAATTGGGTTTGTCTGGTTACATGCTTCCTGTGCTGCTGACTGTTCCCGCATTTATGCCTGTCAGTATAGAAGGTAAGCCCTATTTCCACCTCCTCCTTGCATTTAAAAAAATAGAATAAATTTCTCTGCTGCTTTTGTGCTCTTTAAGCTGCCTTTTCCTATTGCTGTAAGTGTAATTATAACGTCCTGGCCATGCTGTCTGATAACTGGACTACACTGTGTTGTCGCTTGCCAAACTCAAAAGTTTGTCCAAGACATCTGAGACAAATACTGAAGTCTGTCATCCTCAATGCCCAGAAGACGGGGATCATCTTGTTTCTCGAGTACACGCAGCACTAGAAATTATAATAGTTTTTGTGGAGTAAATGTACTAGAGGTACCAAAGTAGAGAGTTCAGAACCTGCTTTGCAGGGTTTCTCCCTCATGCAGACCTTGTGAGACACGTGTCATTAGAGAATGTACTGCTGGACCTCAGGATCTGTTCTTTTCATGAAGGTATGCCCTAAGATTTTCCAAAGCAGGAGACTAATTTTAGACTGAAACAACATGCTGCTTCTCTTAGATGTGGGGTTTGGGTTTGTTGTTTTGGTTGTGTTTTTTTTTTTTTAAGTCCTCTGTTATGATCACCTGCTTGAATAAGTCTTCAACCTAAATAAGTTGTCTGTTAAGTGTCATGGAACCTTGTACTAGTTTTCTGACTGTAAAATCGCAAAGTTACTTTCTCTTGCGTTTAACTGCATTAGCAGCACTCCTGACATGGTACGTGTGCTCGCTGTGGGCAGTGGGCTCTGTCAGTTTGCAGGAGTCTTTCCCAGCTTGTTGAAATGTTTAAAGCCTGTTCCTTCTACCTGCATGAAAGGAGCACGATGAGGCAGAAACTTTGGACTGCAGCTTGACTGAACTTGACTTTGTCCTGAACTAAAAAGCTCTAGTTGTGGTAGAGTTTAGGTGAAAGCCTTGAGCAGCTGCCAGGAAGGCGAGTGCCTGCAGCAAACAGCGCAGGCCGGAGCTGCCCTGCCGCTTCCCCCGGGCCTGGAGCTGGGCACGGGACCCACCACACAGCGCGGAGGCCTGTGTCAAATGCCTTTCATAACGTGGGAGGGGGAAAACAGAGCTGGTGGATACAAACAAGTGGAAGTCTTTCATGGAGGGAGAGGTCTGGTCATCTTTGTTTCTCAAAGGTTCTGCAGCTTGGGTACTTTGTAGTACAGAAAAAATGTTGTTAAAACTATGGGGGCTTTCCATCTCAAGCCCAGATCCTACTGCTTCTACTTGAATCAAGGAGGTGTGATTCAGAGTCACAGGTCTCCTTTTCAAAACTCTTTTTCTGCTAGTGTGTTGATGGTAGGTTTCCTTGGAGTTTTGCACATAATGTTTTATCTTAAAAATACCACCTTACAAGAATGATCAGGGTTTTCCCTTTTTAGTGGCAGATTTTATTAAGGGAAAAAAACTTGGTGCTAAGTAGCAACTGTAAGGTATATCCCTTGGGACATACTACTTCAGACTCTGGTTTGTGAAATAACGAAGCAGTTCTATCACTAGCTTTGTGGAAGCTGCTGTGTAGCAACCTGGCTTGCACGGGAGCAGGTATTCTAAGGGCAAGTAGAACTGTAACTTTTCAAAGAGGAGGCTGAAATAAGGCATCTAGGGAGGGAGGTAAAGTTGCCATTATAGTGAGAAAACTGCTGTTGCATCTTCCAACTTGATTGTGTCATGTTACCTTCAGTATATCAAAATAGTATCTATGTTACATTAAAAGAACAAAAACAGAGTAAGATGGTATCACTGAAAGTTAATGAGGTGATGTGTAAACATGACAGGAATTTGTTAATTTGATTTCTACAAGTGGTGTTTGGAGGTAGAGGAACTTTGCCAAATCCTCCTTATTTCAAATATTTTTCTTACAGGAAGGAAGAAGAGAGAGAGGCTTTCATAGGTAATGATTTTCCAGGATTTTGCCCTTCCAATTTGTTGGTAGTTGGCATTACATGGAACATGTGTCAGCTGTCCATAAACAAAGGCAGGCGTTATATTTTCTTAAGTCACTAAAAAAAAATGTTTCCTCTAAATGGTTTTATGAAGGTGTGCTTAAAGATCATGTAACTTGAGATAAAGCATAGCATGCTTTGAGGCAAGATGTTATTTTTATTTTTTTTTTCAATTTTTTTTCTACAGGGCTTCAAAAGGCAGTTCTGTTTTTATAACTTGAAATGTTCAAGTACTTGGAAAGTAAAAAAAAAAATTAAGACAACTGCACTGTGACTCTCAGGATTTTTTGTAGCAAAAGCTGTGTGTTTGCCACAACAGCTACCCAACTCTTATAACTAAGGTTAAGCATCATATAGATTTTAGCTTTGCTTTTATACTGATGCTGCTTTCTCTCGCTTTGCAAAGCTACAGTGCTTTACCAAAAAAAAAGTTACGTAACTAGTCAGCAGTTAAGATAAAGAATAAGCCTTTTCCCTAGATGTTTGAGCGTTAGACATCTGCTTCCACTGTTTTTGAAATTAATATTTTTTCTTAATAAGGCCAAATCTCTGAATCCCTTACATTAGAAATAGCTGTATAGAAGCCTTATTTACCACTACATAAAAGTGAAGAGACATAATCCCACTGCATGCTGTCTGATGCATATATCCATTACCACCTGGGCCTGGACAATGGTATTGCTTTTCAAAAAGTTTAAGAATGGGCTCATTTAACCTGCGTGATGTGTCGGAGAGCATTCTTGGCAAGTTTGCAGATAATACAAAGTGGGGTGGTTCCACCAGCTGGGGGCACTGACACCCAGAGGGACCTGGACAGGCTGGGGGAACGGGCCAGCAGGAACCTCATGCAGTTCATCAAAGGAAAATGCCAAATCTTGTGCCTGGGCAGGAATAACCCCAGGCACCAGTACAGGCTGGGAAGCAGCTCCCCAGAGAAGGACCTGGGGGACAGGCTATGAGCCAGCAACGTGCTCTTGCAGCAAAGCAGCCCAACAGCCTCTGGTGCTGCGATAGGCAGAGAATGGCCAGCAGGTCCGTGGAGCTGGTCCTTCCCCTCTGCTCAGCCCTGGTGAGGCACAGCTGCAGGGCTGGGGCCAGTGCTGAGCTTCCCAGAAAAAGAGACATAGACATGCTGGACCGAGTCCACCAAACAGCCAGGAGGGTGATGAAAGGGTCTGGAGCAACTGACACATGAAGAGAGGCTGAGGGAGCTGGGAGTGTTCAGCCTGAAGAAGGGAAGCTCAGGGGGATCTTATCCTTGTGTTTAAGATGGGGGGAAGCAAAGAAGATGGAGCCAGGCTCTTCTCAGTGGTGTCCAGTGACAGGACAGGAAGAAATGGGCACAAACTGAAACACAGGAGGTTCCACTGAGACAAGTAAAATAAACTTCTTACTGTGAGGATGGTCTAGCACTGGCACAGGCTGCCTGGAGAGGTTGTTGTGTCTCCATCCCTGGTGCTATTGAAAATCCAAATATAAGTGGCCCTGAGCAACCTGCTCTAGTTCATCCTGTTTTAAGCAGAGGTGGACTCTACAGTCTCCAGAGGCCCCTTCCACTATCAACAAGTGTGTGTGGTCTCCTCAAATGTACTTGGTCAGTTACTAAAGGCACAGTACCACTTCCCTCATGTATCTGGGGGAAAAAAAATATCCAGCCCCTCTCCTGAAGGCCTGAGGCTTCTTGAGGTGCTTTCGCATGATGAGTCTTTCATGCAAGGAACTTGGCTACCAGACCAGCTCCTTGCTCATATGGGAGGGAGCTCTGGAACCATCAGGTGGGTTTGCCTGAGTGTCTTCTGTTGTAACAGACCACTCCCCCTAACTATACCCCTCTTGCTGATATGGGTGCTGGACCCTTAGCTTTACAGTTCTGCAGAACTCCTGCGAGTGAGTTGTGGAACGTTGACCCCAGGAACAGCTGCTGCTAAAAGGGGTGTGGGACCTTTGATCAAATAGCTGTCTGGTTTCCTGACACCTACAGCACAATGTAGGCTGCTGTGCTAGCTATGGTTATTTCTGCTGATTTTTTTTTTTTCACTGGTCCTGAACCTTGCCACTTCCTCGGCTCCAGTTAGAGCTCTATTTTAAATACTTCCTAGAGTGAAGCAAGGCAGAATATAAACGTATAGACTCATGCTGTGCTTAAGCCTTGCTCTAGGGTGCAGAGCTACCTGCAGGAGCCAGCAAGTATCCAGAACCAAAGCAGAAGCTGTTGAAAAACGCACCTGAATTAGCTCATCCTTATGCTGGACTGCAGTAATCTTCTCTATCCTTCCTGCTGCTTGGATTAGGATGAGAACTCGTATGTTTGAGCGTGTCCTTTCTCCTTCCCTTCTCTTGTTCTACCCAAGAGAGTACCAATGGGAAGAAAGCAGAATTTCCTTTTGCTAAGCTAATAATGTGTTTTAGAGAAAGCCTTGAGACTTAGTAATGCTTGCTGCAGTGGGAGGAAATGCAGGGGAACAGCCATAAACACAACCTAGGCAATCCTAGAAAAGATGGCAGGAAAAGATTCTTTCTAACGGACTTGAGTATGTGCTCAATACTGATGACTGAGGCTAATGAACTCCACTCCCTGCCCCCCCCCATCGCTCTCTACAAGTCCCCAGATAGACTCTTCTCTTGGGACCCCCAGTGTATCTGGTTGAGATGCTCTTGGGGGAAGAAAAAGTATTAGAATTCTGAAAGGCAAGGGGCACAATTCTTTCCCCTTCCTTTTCATTCCACTATGTGCAAGTAGAAAGAAGTGTTTAAACTACATTGATTTCCTCACCAGAAAGGAAAACAGAGAAGGAAAATATTTGAAAGACTGCACAGCCATAACAAGTAGATTTGTCAGATCATCTCACTTCAGCAGGTGGCCCTTGACTTAAAAAAAAAAAAACAAACTGCTTTTGCACATTTAATTAGATTATTACAAGGCGAAGAAGTTTGAGAGCTGAGGCCATTATGTGCTTCCATATAATGTGGCATCTTTCAGAAACAAATGGAAGTGGTAGGAAAAGTCATGAAAAAAACAGCTGTTAAATCAGGGACAGATGGCCAAAGCAGTAAGTTAATGCCTTAACTTTAGGCCAAGTTTAAAAATAATTTGAAAAAAAAGATTTTAATGATAACGTAGGAACTAATTCCAGCAGACACATGGTTTTCTGTCCACATCAAGGCATTTTATTGAGGTATAAACTTTGCAGAAGATGAGGTAACAATTTGCATAGGACTTATGCAAAGTAACTTCACAATTAAAATTTACTTGGTAATAACTACTGTATGTGGAGAACAACTGATAATTCCTTCTTGTTAAGATTCTCCTCACTGCACAGGTCTGTTAATGCTAGTGGTAGGACCGTGGAGAAGGTAGAGCAGTTGTAGGTAATGAAACCAGACAGATTGAAAACGCTTTCATACAGATTTTACAGCCTCTTTTCAGTGGTTTGTATTAAAAGATTACTGAAACAGACAACACGCTACAATTTAAAGTACGCTTGTCCAATGCAAGAAAGGAGGTGCTTAGGTTCTTGTAGCAATGACAGTGGGGTGGGCGAGTGTGGTTTTGTTGTTGGGTTTGGCTTTTTTTTTTTTAAAGAAAGCTTTTTAAGCTATTGGAATAAAAAGCCTCTGGTTGTCAAAGTTGGTAGTTTGAATTTGGCACTTTTAAGTTGTCAGACTTGTTAAGGCTAAAACATGGAAGTCTTGGTAAAGACACATTCTTGTGTTATTAAACGCTCCTCTTACATACTTATTGAAAATAAGTACATGCTCTATTTCCTCAATTTCAGATTTTAAGAATTTCTAACAATGCATCTTTAGTGTAGCTCTCTTGAAAGCTCCCTTGAAGCTTGAAAAATAATTTCACTTTAGTCATGAAAAATATACAGAAAGGTTTCTACAAAAAGTTTGGTTACTATTTGACATGTAAAACATTCCTTGCTGGTGAATGTTAATATTCTAAGGCCTAGTAGCAATTCCTGCAGACAGTAAGAATCATGATATCATTAAATCTATACTATAAAATGTACACAAGCATATACAGAAAATTAACCAGAGAAACATTAGTTGCCCACAGAAATTCATTTTTCTAAACCAATTCACAAAGATTATCAAAATACAAAATCAGCTTAAAAAAACCAGCCTGAGGTAAGAGTTAAATGCAAATAGCAATCTTTTTCTTAAAAAAATAGCTGTATTGAAATTCTAGGTACTTAGAAAGTTACTGTCAATAAAAACTTTTACTAGCAATTGTAAAGAGTACTTTTAACTAATACAAAAGTATATAAACATTGTACACAGATTCAAAGTAAAAAAGTACAATACTGTACTTTAATTTCATTTAAAAATATATAGTTTTATGACAATTCAAACTTCTACCATACATGCAGTTAACTGGCTTTGGATTAGCTGCTACTGTTGTCCATGGAACAGTCAGCTAATTCTGTGTGCTGCTGACTTTCAGCTGTGCTAGGACATGGTATTTTGCCGTCCATTTGCCTGAGTAAGTCGTTGGCTGTAAAACAAAATGTAAGCTTGAGCCTTGCATACTTCTTCCATAGTGCACATGTTGAGTTTCGAATCATTGCAGTGTACCCAAAATCCTGCAGTGAAGAAATGCACCAAAAGAAGTCATCAGGACACTGATTTGAGGTAATTGCATTGTATTTAATAATTAATTAGTGAGTCTCATTTGACAAGTTGCATAGAAATAGTATACATGTTTAACAAGCCTATACAAAAGTTGAACTCTTTTGGTCTACAGACCTGCAATTCTCATTCCAGGCAGTTCAGCCACAAGTGATTCCCTTTTGCATTTGAGAAAAGACAGTAGGCTCATCAGTTTAGAATTACGAACACCCCTTTCTCCCCCACTCCTTATTTCACAGCTGGTTCCTACCTCCTTCTGAATTGTAGCAGTAGGCAGTGTAGTGCCCTGAGCCAAATCCTTTCCCGTGATGCATTACCACAGCCGACAAGTCATAGATAAAGCAGTCAGGTAGGAGGGACTTGAGGGATTCTCTGCAGCAATAAGGCTCCATGTTCAGCATTTGATCAAAATTAACATGTACGCCAATCTTCTCACGATGATTGCGTCCTGACCACCTGGAAAGTAAGTTAAACGAAAATTTACATTTTTTCAAAAAGAAAGAACACAGCATTCTGAATTATGTTTTAACACGAGTTTTGTCTTCACTATTGTCTTTGTGCACAAAATAAATGCTCATTTGCACACTTTTTTCCTAGGCTTCCTCTTTCACATCTCCTTAATTTCAAGGCCTTTTAAAATGTGTCTATGGTACCTACTATTCTCATCTTCTGAAACATCCACCTTACGATCTGTGTAATGGTGAGTAGTGAGTACTTCCCTCTTACTGCATCTCATAAGTATTTCTTATTTATTCTGTCTCATTTTCTGGTTTCCTTTGTACTCCGGACAGACTCTGTATTCTAATGGACCAAGAGTTCACAGAGATGCAGTCTCCACTTCCTTACTCGCAGGCTAATGCATTCATGTATTTGATTATATAAAGGTTATGTGAGACTTCCCCTGACTACAATCTCGGTTTGTACATTAGTGAATACGAGCACTTACTCTGCCTGAAGGTAAAATTAATTTTTACCAATAGAGTTCACAGCAAGATTAGTAGGTTTTGACTGAAAAGAAGGATGAAATAATTTTGGCACTAAAGGAGCAAGTAGTTAGAATCCAAAAGGTCAATTCTCTACTTACAGTGCATCTTACTGATGTTTAAGTTAAAGAAGAAAAAGAAGCCTCTAATAACTATTTCTCATCATAGTAGTAAAGGGAAATTAAACTGACGCTGAAAAACATTGATCCCAAAGACTGTCTGATGTGGTACTACTTACCTGAACCGTTTAAGGTGTAATCTGAGAACCTGAGGTAGCCGACACACCATAAGCTGCTTCTGAGCTTCTGTGAGTATAACTGGTTTAGAAGAAAACTTCCTTCGTTTTTCTGAGACCAAACACACAGTTACACAATACAAATCTCGATAACAGCCTTGTATTTCAGTCCAAGATTTATCCACCAAATCTGTGTGGACATAAATAGCTACTGTATGCGCCTCCTTAAAAAGGACACACTCTGAGAGCCCTTTTCAAGGGTTATTTTATGATTCAAGTATAAATACTTGTGGTCACTTAGGTTAATCACCTTAATTTAAAAAGCTGATGGGTTCTTCAGCTGGGAGTATCAGAATCCCCGTTAGTGTGTGATCAGACTTTATCTAAGAGAAGCATCACACTTTAAAGCATCCTTGGAACAATTCCATCTTCTATGATGCTGAGTAACAGTTGTGAAGTGACCACACCAGGACTTTGTTTGCAACATACTTTTAAGACTTTCAGTATTTTTCTTCCATGCTTTCACAGTCAGTTTACTTTATATTTTACACAGAAAATGTATGCATGAGTACATACTGCCTTTACTCACTGTTGCACTGATCACATGCATATATCTTTCCTTCCAAAGCTTCAGTTTCTGTAAACTTGGACAGCATTTCTGTCAGCAGACAAGTGTACTGAGATGACATCTCCTTGCCGTTGCAGTGATACCTCTCAGGAAACTCCAAGGACAGGTCCCAGAAAGGTTCTATGGTATTTGATTTATTGTCACAGGCAAGGCATGTAACCTGTAAAACAATATTTCACCAGTTGCTTACACTTCAAAATTTACTTTGCTAAAAGTGTACCGTAGCTCCAAAAAAAAAAAAAAAAAAAGCCTTTTCCTAGAGATAACTGATGCAACCAAAGACAAGACATAGTAATTTAATAAAAGAAATGATACACCTAATTTCTTTACTCTGAAGCAGCATGTCCAATACTGTTATCACAAAGAGGTAACTGTTCTTATGTTTTACTGAGAAACAAAAGCAGGGTCAAAATGCTCTGTCTGGGACTGTCCAAGAGAAGGCAGCTGGTGGAGTCTCAGGAGTCTTTTCTCCAAAAAGAAACACTCCAAAAGGAAAATTTACATGAAAGAGAGAAACTATAGTTTAGGTTAATTAAAAAAAAAAAGAAAAAGAAAAAGAAAAAAAAAAGAAAACAGCTGGGGATTTTAAAGTCATATCCTTCTTACTTTGTCAGTCTTCCAGGGAAGCCTGGATTAGGAAGCACACTTCTTCAAAGAAAAATTAACAGGTAAAAATAATTTATTTCTTCTTTCAGTAAGTGGATCCATCGTCACACTAGGGAAAGGACAAGCAGTAAGACAATATAAATAAAATGTCAAGATGTGAAGTGAACCTGGAAAATGCAGATAATACAGCAGGGGACAATTAATTTATGATAACATTTAAAGTTAAAAGCAGTAGCTCTTCTACACTGGAATGGCAACACATTAGGTGTTGATTTGCAATGTCATCTTCTAAATGCCAGCTCAAGCTGTGTATAGAAGAGTGTCACATCATTTCAGGCTTCCTCCAAAGGACCTCCACCCTTCTGCAATCCATTTGGATGAATAACTTCTATCAGCAGCTGAACCTACACAGTAGTAAAACTCCATTTAGATTGTAACAAGCATAGTTCATAAAGGCTATAAAGAAATATCAGTAAATATTAAGTGTGTGTGCGAGACAAAAGATACGTTCACCCAGGTATGTTCAATGCAACAAAGTACAATACAATTCTGAAGAGTAATTAGCTGAATTTTCTACTGTTTATGTATTTATTAGCTTGTAAGTTGCAGATGACCACTAACTTAAGTAGCTCTAACCTCACAGGTCCTGAAAAGACACATTCTGAAAATAAGATTAATTTTAAGTATCTCCTTAAGTTTGCCCCCCAAGGGTAAATCTCTATAAGCATGCTTCCTATTTAGGAAAATACCCCAAGTTGTTTGGAACACTCAATAAAAAGATGTAGTAATAAAGGAATGAAAATCCACGAGGGATCCAAATATTGTTATTTCACAGGCACGCCTTTGTGTTGCTGTTCTACATAATTTCAGTGTAGTTCTCTTTCAGTTAGATTACTAATCCTACACAAGTATAAAAATACACTCAGTGTTGCTCAAGAGGTCCTTTATTTTCCTCTGAGGGTTTGCCGTCACGTAATTATTTACCCTGCTTTGTCTGTTACTTCATGATCATTTATGTCCAGGACAGATCTGTCACCTTATGGTATCTTCCTCCTAGGTGTTCCTGTGAGTAATTATTTAACACATTCATTAGCTACCACAGCTTATACACAATCTATGCATTAGCTACCTAATGCACATGTGTATTTGTGTACCAGCATACATGTTCAGCAGTGGAGTTAAGAAAGGTGCTAGCTGCTTTAAGTTCTAAGAAGAAAACTCCGCTGCCTTGTTCTTAGAAAACAAAACTTCAAACTTACATGGCAGAAAAGAGGAGAATCTTCTGTTTTAATTTACATTGACAGGAGCTTCTCTTCTAAGTGCTAACATCTGGCCATGTTTCAAAGCCACAAACTATTAGTAATTCAGAGCTGGAATCTAGACTTGGAGACAAAATGATATGTTTGGCCACAGTTCAAGCTAACTCCTGTATAAACACAGAATGACTAATAGATTTCTGCTGTACAAATGGGTAATTTTTTTGGGCCAAAAGTTTATTTAATTGACAAGTTACTTAAGAATTTGTTGCACATGAATGCACACTGAAGATTAATGGGCTCAGGATGAAGTACCTGCATTAACTCAGTACATATAATTTTAACAAGTTCTGAGGTTTTAAATTTAGCGTATAATGTTAACAATCTAGGTTTAAGATCCTCTTTCCTGGCTAGTTAATAAGTACTATCCCAAAGGGGGGGAAAAAAAAAAATTGATCAAGCTTCCAATTCTTGCCTCTCAAAAAACCTAAAAAAGATAAACTGATGCAACAGTGTACCTTCTCATCTCATCATGCAACGGTGAGCAAAGCTGATTTGTGTTGACAAAATCCTGTACTGATACAGAGCTGCACTTATTTCCTCAAATCCAAGACACTCCTCCTCACTATGAGGCTGAAACAGAATTAATCTCTTCAGTTATCTGGGATTTGTGTACTTGCCAGCAACCTGACGTCTTTGGCTAAGCATACACCCAACTGTATCAGCCACTGTGCACTAACTGCTCCTGTACACACTCACCCAATGAGAGGTAAATAAGGACTGGAACAAAGGTTGGAAATATTTTTCTTAGCCAGGCCTGAGCTTACAAATTTGATTACTCAACAAGTAAGAGGATCCCTACCCTTCTGTGGAATCCATCTGCACTGGTCCATCCCTCAGCATGGGCGTCGCAACACTCCCATCACTTCTCTTTCTGTCCTAAACGGGACTCCTTTATCTCACACTCCACTAGCATTCCAGCAGGACAACCCAGATTTTATTTTTTCATGAAAAGCACTGAAATTGTATAAACTGCTCAAAAGTTGGTTGAACAAGAGGTGAGTTTTTTATGAAAAACAAAACAACCCCAAAAAAGGAACTCAAATGGCTGGCAAAAACTTTACGCATCTGTTCAGCGTAGCTTATTATGCTATGAGTATGCACGACAGTAACAGGGAAGCAAGTCTGCTCTAGCAATCTGGTTAGTGACGTATATCTTTCTATGACTATATTTTACAAATTCAGAGTTTGATTTCACCTCCCCATTATTTTCCACCATTGCTATTTTAGGAAGCCTTAATGCTGTAATTTGTAACAAAGCTACAAGAGAAGCTTACATTAGAGCAAAGAAGTAAATTACTGGTTTTAGCTAGTCTGAAAACTCTACCTTATGTTCTGCCCTGACCACTCTCTCATGCCTTGAAACATGGGTACTATATACAATTGTTTGGTTAAAGCTCAGTATTCAATCATGGGCCAAAGGCCAGACTGAAAAGAGATGGATCAAATTGCTTGATCCAAGCTAAGCATGGAGGCAACTCAGACAAGCATCACTGTGGCCACAATAGTTTGACAGACAGCCACTGCCCCAGATGGCATTCAGCCTAAATGCAGCCAAAGAAAATAGTTAACATATTGCTGCAGAAAAAGCCAACTCCATCATCAACTGTTTTGCCTGTGTTCCTGACACTTGCATGGGAGAAGACAACTGTTACCATCTCTGCTCTAATTCTTTTTTGGTTTTTAAGAACAGCAAGATGGCCAGTCCTATTTTTGTACTTTCATCACTAAAGTTTTCACTTTATGAGACATATCTAGAAAGAGCAGTAACTGAATTTTTCCACAGCAAAGTAATCAAAGTAGAAGGGGATTTCTAAGATACTGCTATAATACGGAATTCCACAACAGTCCATACTGTATTCCTTCAGTTATAAAAAGAACTAAACTTTGTAGTAAAGACAATACACAATCATCAAAATTATCTGTATCTATTTAACAGAATAACATAAGCTTAACCACAGCAAACTGTAGGCTGTGATTCAATGGCCTCCTATAGATTAACTTAAAATGTCACCTTCATCTATTTGGAGAGCAACTTGACAACCATTTTGTGATTCAGGTAGCACATAAAAGCACGGAGACTGATATTAGAATATAGAAGTCAGGCCATCCATGACCTGTATGCTAAGTGCAAATCCTCCTAGTACCTACCAGAAGTTCTCAGTTTTTAATAGTCTACTCAGTGTGAGACAATACACAGCACTGCATGACAGTCACTTTCAGCATTCTCCCTCAAACTTTAACTCACAGCACACTAACCAAAACCAAAGGGCTTCAAACAATCCAAAAACTGCACATTTTTACTTCTCTCTGCCAATCTGCCCTGAAATACACTGGTTGAGCAAGTAAATGGATCGAGACTTGCAAGGAGAGGCACTGCCTTTTAAAACTTTAACCATAATTTACATACTACATTGGTTAGCACCTACTTCACTCTCTGGGTCTATGGCATATTCATTTCTCTGAGCATTGCACACCGTTACATCTGCCATGCTGCGCAGGGCTGGGGGGAGGCATTTTGCTCAGATTCCATCTTAAACATGATGAGCAAGTAATCAAACCATTTGGGTTTTTTAAAAGTATGCCTAGAGGTATCGAAAGCTAGTTCTTACTAGGCATTGCTATAATAAATGGTGAATTATTGGAAAAAACCTCACAGCCCAGAAGCGGTTTGTCCTAAGAAACAATTAATCACAACGTTGCTGTAGCGGAAACTTGTTACTAAATCATCATAGCCACTGCTCTTCACTTTCACTGCTGTTTTGCTACTTGTTGTTACTGTAATAGAAATCTAGGCAAAGAGCTTCGTGTAAGGCACCACGTTCAAGAGCAGTGGAATCCCCACGAGACTTACAAACAAAACTGTTTCTAAAGGGTTCCTAATTCTAATCAATTTCTAATTTAATGTAAATGGTGAAAGAAATACCTAGCCACTGATGTTAAAATTACACTGGCCAGGTATTTCTTTCACCATTTACATTAAACTAGAATTTAATCAACAGCAGTCTGTAAAGAAAGTATCAACAACTACTTACTGCTTTGCCACATGTGCCAGTTCAGTAAAACACAGCATTCATAATTCAACATTAATTTTCTTCCTTGGATTATGCAGCCAGCAGCTTTCACATAAACCAGCACAAACTTTATTTTTTCTCCTCCCTTACTGGGCCTTTTTTAGCCACAGAAAATATTGACTGTTCTTCTTCTGCTTGCCTAGAATTAGAAACTATCCCTGATT